AAGCAGTGAAAGATAAATCCCTTATTGTGGAGTTAAGCATTAGTACCAGTGTTGACCCCCCCCCTAGCCCAGAGCCTTGACCCACTTACTTTCCAGCTCCACCCTCCACCAGGATAACCCTTCACATCTGCCAAGTCCCTTCAGAAAATATCTTCCATTGTCCAACCCATAGATGGAAAGATCATATAAGAAAGAAAAAAAAGGAATCAAACTGAGCAGGTCTAGTCTAAGGTATCAGCCAGAAATGCACAACTTGAAGAGAGTAACATTGATGAATGGTGCCTCCTAAAGAATAAGTCCTTGTGTGCATCAAAAACTTTTACCAGTAGAGTAAAAAGAAAACCTACTAACTAGGGAAAAACATTGGCAATATCAACTCAGACAAAAATCTCATAATGAAAGTAAAAGACTGATAACCCAATTACAAAATAAGCAAAACGTGGACTTTTCACAGAGGATGACATTCAGATGGCCCAGCAGACTCATGAGGAGATACTAAAAAATCACTGGCCATAAGAGAGATACAAATAAAAAATGCAATGAGATACCATTTCATCCCAGTAACAGTGGCAAAGTTTAACAGGACAGCAAGCAATAAATGCTGGATATATTTGAACACTGTTTTAGACACTGTTAGTGGATTGTAAAATGGTACAACCACTTTGGAATGCAGTTTGGCATTTTCTCAAAAAGCTGAACATAGAAATTTCATATGACCCAGCTATTACTCTGCTAGGAATATACTCCAAGGAAATTAGAACTGAGAAACAGATTTGTACCCCAATGTTCATAGTAGCATTGTTCACAATAACAAGAAAATGGAAACAGCCCAAATGTTCATCAACAAACGAATGGACTGAGAAGTTGTCATACAGTCACACGTTGGAGTTCAGTACAGCACTCAGAAGCAACAATTTTGATAAATCTTATATAATATGGAAGAGTGTGGAGAGTATGACATTGAGTGAACTAACTTGGTCTCATAAGGACAAATACAGTATAAGACCATTATTGTAAAGATAAAGGTCTAGTAAAGTGTGTACAGAAGTCCAAAAGGGACAAGGAGAGAATAATAAAACTGAGGGAGGGGGAAGCTTGAGATTACTGAGTTTAGTGGGCAGAGGGTGGGAGCAAATGAATTAGAAGAGATCTAACGGGGACATGAAAAGGTAATGGTGGGTATGGATGTAATGGTGGTAATGGTGGTGATTAATTTTATAAAATAGTGTTACAGGGATGATCATATGAAACACAGTGTGAATGGAGGAGTACATGAAACACAATGTGTATGAACTTTGCATGCAAACAAATACGTAATAAAAATAATTTTTAAATGGTATAATTAAAAAATATGTTGGGGAAAGCTTCTATTTCAGAGGCATACAGGGGAGATAACTTTAGTTAGCGCCAGATTTCATTTGAAGCAGGAGATAAGAGAATCAATTTTCAGGAGAGAATGACTAGAAGGTAAAATAGGACCCCAGATGGTACTGTCCTAGAGGTGAAATAGATACTACAGTAGGTGGCTGCAGGTTTTCTAGAGAGTTAAAATTTTAGGTGCTGAGAAAAGCAGAAAGGATTGATAATCTCAACATATGATGCTTAGGTGACTAATTTGCCAAAGAAAAAATAAAGCCAAAAAAGTAAGAAGATTCTAGCATTATGTAAAAATTTTTGGGACCACATGGTTCTGTTAAAGAGAAGTATTAGGGGAGCTCTGGTGGCTTAGTGGCAAGAAGCTGCACTGCAATCCCAGAGATATGCGGTTTGAATCCACCAGATGCTCTACCCGAGGAGGGGCCATCTCCTCCTGTACCAGTCAGATCCAATTTGATGGTACACACACAGAGAAAATAATAAAATTTTTTTAAAAAAGATTTTTTTTAAAAAAGAGAAGTGTTTAGAAATCTGGGAAGCATTCAAGCCCTGGGAGGCACAAAAACTCTAGAAAAGGACTTCCTCAAACAGTTCCAAGTCTTTCTTGAAAAATTTACACAGTTAGAGAATTTAGACCAGTGTTAGCTTAGATCTTTCCTCTGTGTTTTCCTTCCTACTACCAAGGACTGATTATACATCATGTGCTGTTGTTAGGGGCCACTAACATCATAGATTACTTAAAACTTTGCATTGTATGAGATCTTAATTCTCCCTCAAGTAACTCTCTATGGTAATCTCATTTGTAAATGCTTCAGTCAGTATTTCCCTTTTTCAAATTCCAAAAAGAATATTTTATTAGCCTCAGTTTTCTTTTTGGTCAGTGTATACAAAGCTACCTTCAGATCAGAAACCTGGCTCGGCTACATCTATGTCAGCTATGTCTATGTCTGGTCCGTTGGATAGGATAGACTAGGCATGGTTGACATTTCTGGCATAGACAGCAGCATAGGTTCATATCCTTTCCTGTTTACCATAAAAGTGCCAGGCAAGGAGTATATTAAAGACTTGTTGTTGATATGTACCTTTGATTTGGAACCAACTCATAGTTGGCCCTCCATTGAGTTTTCAGAGGCAGCAAATTGCATGGGAGGAGAGTGCCTGCCCATCTCTATCTTGTGGAGCAGCTGGTGGATTCGAACTGTGTTCCTTTGACCTGGTAGCACAACTCCTTATTACTAAACCATTAGAACTCCCTAAGGATTAGTTTTAGTTACTAAGGAATAGTGAGACTCATTTTCATAGGTTGACTCTGCTTTTTCTTCTTGGCAGCACTGATGTCTTCATCTGCACCAGCCCCATTAGGATGTTTAAGTTTTGTCCTTATGAGAAGGTAAGATATGTATCTTGCTCTGAGAGAAGGCTAGCACTGGACGCAGCTAAGGAACACAGGAACACAGAAAGCCCAGCTGTAAGGATGTGGGCACTGAATGATGGACTGCAGAAATAACCTTGTGTCTCCCAGATACTCCCCAGATTCCTTCTCATGTGATCCTTCCTATCTCCGTCCAGGGTTTCTTGCTCCAAATCTTTACTACTCATCTGAAATCTCATTAGTCATTCAGTCACTCATTTTTAAAATTGTGATTTGATCAAAATATACATTTTTCTAAAAAAAATACATTTTTCTAAATGAGGTTAATTTTTCGTTCAACCACTCATTAAGTATTTGGATTTATAACATTAATTTAAAGCACCCACAATATAATCACACTTTTCTCTGTTTTGAGGGTTGTTTTTTGTTGTGGGTTGGGTTTTTTTTCCCCCCGAGTGGAGCCTGGCTAAGATACAGGTTCTCTGGGAAGGGTGATTCATAGACATTATGGTAAAACATCCTTTATCAGATTAATCCTGGCTTAGAGTTGGCTCTTCATGGATGAAACAAAGAGAGAAAACTTGTCTAAAGAGTATTTGGAGGCAACTCAAACCCAAATATTAGTGCATGTGAATTTATTTTCATGGAAAGCCTTACAAATGAAATCACATTTTTCTGTGCACCTATTTTATCATGTTTATTGAATGAAATTGAATTACATAAAATTGCCATTTTTGGTAATTGGAAAACTGAGGTTGCTAAATCCAGAAAAAAAGTTTATTGCCCAGGAGTGAAGCATTTATAGCAGAGACTGTCTCAGGAGCCTTGACTCTCAAGAGGGAGGGTTTGCTCTGGGAGTTCTGTGTAGACCTATAGGTCTGAGCTCTTCAAACAGTCTCCACTTGGCCTTTCCTCTGACTCCATACTAGAAAGACAATGTTCACATTATGGAAAAGCTATTTCTGAAGTACTTGAAACCTTGCTTTCTGAAAGTGAGGAAGACATAATATACTTATTGCATAAGACCAAAGACTATAACCTTCAATATGAATTGCATCTCAACATTAAGAAACAAAAAGCCTCACCACTGCACTGATAAGCAACATGCTATATGAAGAAAAGATTGAAATTGTCAATAATTTCATCTTGCACCCTTGGTCCCAGCAGTCAGGAGAGTAGGAGACAAACTGCATTGGGCAAGTCTCTCCAGATTACTGAGGAGCAATGATGTCAACCTGAAGCCTATGGTGCACTTTATTCAGATCATGGTTTTTTCAACCACTTGCAGTGAATCTGAGAGGTGGCCAGAGAATAAGGATAACAGAAAAATAGTTGACACTTTTGAGTTGTGGTGTTGGAGAAAAGTACTGAATATCCTTTGGACTGCCAAAAGAACAAACAGCTTGTCTTGGGAAAAGTGCAACCAGAGTGCTCCTTGGAGGCAAGGATGGCAAACCTTTGTTTCACATACTTTGGGCATGCTTCTAAGAGAAGATACTCTTTGGAGAAGGACATCATGCTTAGAAAGGTAGACACTCAACAAGATGCATTGAAACAGTTGCTGCAGCAATAGGCTTAAGTGTGTCAGAAATGAAGAAAATAACAAAGGATAGGACACGGTTTAGATACATTGTTCATAGGGTCACCAAGAGCACCTAACAATAAATTAACTCCATTACATTCTCACAATATCAACTTACAGTGTTATGGTTACCCCCAGTAAGCAAGTGAGGAAACTGAACCCACAAGTGTTGTGTGGTGCAGAGTCAACTTTAACTCATTAGTGACTCTATGAACAATAGCTCTGAACCCTGCCCTATTCTGAGCATTTTTCACTGTCTCAAACACACCTAACCCCATTACTCCGGTTACTGTGTCAATCCAGAGTCTCCGTCTCCCACATTGACCCTCCACCCTTCCAAATATGATGTCTTTCTCTAAGCATTGGTTCCTCCTGGAAATATGCCCAAAGAATGTCAGATGAAAGTTCAAAATCCTTGCCTCCAAGAAGCAACCTGATTTCACCTTCTCTGAAACTACAGAACAGTGTCATCGATTTCACATGCAAGCAAGATTCTACTGAAGATCATCCAAAAACGATTAGAACAGCACATCAGCAGAGAACTGCTGGAAGTCCAGGCTGGGTTTAGAAGGGGTCGTGGTACTAGGGATATTGTTGCTGATGTTAGATGGATCTTGGCTGAAAGCAGAGAATACCAGAAGAATGTCTATCTGTGTTTCATTGATTATGCAAAGGCATTTGACTGTGTGGATCATAACAAACTGGCTGACTCTGAAAAGAAGGGGAATCCCAGAACATTTAATTGTGCTAATGCGAAACCTATACTTGGACCGAGAGGCAGTAGTCAGAACAGAGCAGGGTAACACTGCATGGTTCAAAATTGGGAAGGGTGTACGCCAGGGATGCATCCTGTCTCCATACCTTTTCAACATGTATGCAGAGCAGATTATCCGAGAGGCTGGGCTCTCTGAGGAGAATTGTGGCATCAGGATTGGTGGAAGGTCTATTAACAATCTGCGTTATGCAGATGACACAATCCTGCTTGCTGAAACTGAGGAGGACCTCATGCACTTGCTGCGAAGGGTCAAGGACTGCAGCCTTCAGTATGGACTAAGGCTCAATGTCAAGAAGACAAAGATTCTTGCCACTGGACCAATTGGCAGCATCAGGATGGATGACGAAGAGATTGAGAGTGTTCACAGCTTCAGTTTGCTCGGCTCCACAGTCAACACTCTTGGTACCAGCAGTCAGGAAATCAAAAAGCGTATTGCAATGGGAAAGTCTGCTGTTAGGGGCCTCTCTAAGGTACTCAGGAGCAACGGTGTCTCTCTGGAGACTAAGGTGCGCCTGATACAGGCCATGGTATTTGTAATCGCTTGTTATGCATCAGAGAGTTGGACAATGACTAAGGAGGACAGAAGGAGAGTGGATGCTTTTGAGCTGTGGTGCTGGAGAAGAGTACTGAATGTACCATGGACTGCCAGGAAAACAAACAGATTCATCTTGGAGAGGATTAAACCAGGCTGCTCCTTGGAGGCAAGGATTCTGGGGCTTCGTCTGACATACTTTGGACATGTTGCCAGGAGGGACGGGTCCTTGGAGAGGGACATCATGCTTGGGAGGGTGGAGGGACAGCGCAGGAGGGGAAGACCCTCTATGAGATGGATTGATTCAGTGACTGGGGTAATCGGGATGGGTGTGTCAGAGGCGGTGCGGTTGGCGCAGGATAGAGCAGGGTTTAGGGCTGTTGTGCATAGGGTCGCTATGAGTCGGAAACGACTCGATGGCACATAACAACAACAACAACAAGACAGACAAGTTTGTTTGGACTCTTGGCAGTTCATGTTCAGTACTCATCTCAAATGCCCCAGCTCAAAGGCATCAATTCTTCTGTCATTCTTGGTCATTGACCAGCTCTCTGATGCACAGCAAGTAATTGTGAAGACCATGGACGGGATAAGCGCACCTTAGTCTCCAGACTGACATCCTTGCTCTTCAGTACTCTAGAAAGGTCCCTGACAGCAGATTTTCCTAATACTATTTATCTTTTGATTTTCTGACTGCTGGTGCCAAGAGTGTTGATTGTGGAACTGAGCAAGCTGAAATTGTTAACCTCAGTCTCTTCTCCATCTTTCATGATGCTGTCACTTGGCCTCGTGGTGAGAATCTTTGTCTTCTTGATGTTGACCTTTAAGCCTTTATCCTCTTCAACAAATGATTCAGGCCTCTTCTTGATGTTGACCTTTAAGCCTTTACCCTCTTCAACAAATGCTTCAGGCCCTCCTCAATTTCAGCAAGTAAGATAGTGTCATCTGCATAACACAGATTGGTGATGAGTCTTCCTCCAATCCTGATGCCACATTCCTCCTCATAAAGTCTGTTTTTGTTGTTGTTGTTGTTATGTGCCATTGAGTCACTTGAGATTCATAGCGACCCTATGTACAACAGCCTTAAAATCTGCTCCATCCTGTGCCAATCACACTGTCTCTGATACACCCATCTCGATTACCCCAGTCACAGAATCAATGCACCTCATAGAGGGCCTTCCCCTCCTGCGCTGTCCTTCCACCCTACCTAGCATGATGTCCCTCTCCAAGGACCGGTCCCTCCTTACAACATGTCCAAAGTATTTTAGAGGGAGCTTCAGAATCCTTGCCTCCAAGGAGTTGCCTGGTTTAACCCTTTCCAGGATGAATCTGTTTGTTTTCCTAGCAGTCCATGGTACCCTCAATACTCTTCTCCAGCACCACAGCTCAAAGGCATCAATTCTCCTTCTCCTTACTCACTGTCTAACTCTCTAATGCATAACAAGTGATAGCAAAGACCATGGCCTGTATCAGACACACCTTAGTCTTCAGAAAGACACCATTGCTCGTCAGTACTTTGTGGAGAGGTCCCTAACAGCAGACTTTCTCAGGGCAATACGTCTTTTAATTTCCTGGCTACTGGTACCAAGAGTGTTGACTGTGGAGCCAAGTAAACTAAACGTGAGAACAATCTCAATCTCTTCACCATCCATCCTGATGCTGCCAATCTTTGTCTTCTTGACATTGAGCCTCAATCCATATTGAAGGCTGCAGTCCTTGACCCTCTGCAGCAAGCACTTCAGGTCCTCCTCAGTTTCAGCATGCAGGGTTGTGTCATCTATTCTACTACAGATTGAAAAGGTATGTGGGCTGGACACATTTCTGATGTACTAAAGAACCTTTGAAGGGTTTATAAGAAGAGCAGTCATTGTTTCTGATTCTTCATTGTCTGTTGCTAGTCTCTGAAGCACTGTCCTGATCTCTCTGGACCTGAAATAAAATTTTGTCTGTTAGCCATGGTCTATGAGGCCTTATAGGAATTGGCACTGACATTTAGCTTCATCTCACCTCTTCTCTTCTCTCCTCTCCTTTTCTCTTCTTGCCCTCCCCTTATTCACTGTTCTCTAGCCACACTGATTTTTCTTAACACTTTTTAAACACTTAAGCATTCCTATTGCTTAGCACATTTG